AGTTGTATCCCACCTCGAATATATCCCCAAAAAAGTTCCGTCCCAAAGTGGGGATATAAACGAGGTATGACTGTATCTCCTTCTATATTAATTCAGTACATTACATTACATTACATCACACGCCATTGTTGAAGTTTGACCCTATCAATTATTGCTGTGGCAGTACAAATTAATATCCAACAATGTCAACCCCCTGAAGCTTGTAGTACCATTACGCCCGATATCTTTTCTGTCAATTGTCACACAATATCATGTACTGGGTGTGTATACTCGGATTAAAACCAGTCTTACGTAATGACGTTGTAATGTCGTAAGTAAATAATGGCGGCATTTATTTGTAACGAATTTTCAAAAGCGAATCCTCTCTCCCCTTCCCCTCCCCTCCCCTCCCCTCCCCTTCCCATCCCCTACCCAGCAATAAAACCTCTTTGACCAGAGAAATGCACACTTTTGGCTCGTCAGTTCAGTGAATTGACCCTAAACTGCAACCATTCGGAAAAGAAAAAAGCTCGAGGAATTATTATAACTGCTAAGTAATAGCAAATAAACAAAACAGTGGTTCGTTTTACAGACTTGCTATAACAAGCCTTTTTATGCGCCGCTCATGAAATGAATCAAATATAGTTAATATGAAACCTTTTTATAGGGCATGTCTAAAGCGGAGCAGATCCCTCGCAATTCCATTGGTCAAATTTGTATGGCAGTCAATAAAACTGCAAATACAGGATCACGTTCTGCTCCTTTCCCCTTTTATATCGCAACTGATTAACTTTGACGTACAAAAGTTCCGTGACAAGTTTTCAAAACTGCAACCCCGAGATTTTGACAGTTATCAGCCCTTTCCGTTACATTCCGGAAACTGGTCAGATACCAACTCATTTGTAAAGGTCCCCGCAATTTTAATATAAAAACTTGTACTTTCTTTACTACTGTATGTGAGATCGTCTCCTGTTTTCCTATTCGGGTAACATAGTGTTTACATTGGACATAACCTAAAAAGTAAATGCGCCTCTGTTGGGATTATCGTTATCGAAAAGATCAGGCGATAGGCTTGGCTTCAACTGTGGTACACAATTGTTATGTTCATACTTACTCGAGCGTGATACACTCTTTACGGGAAACCAAGTGTGATTGCAATTTCCTAAATTCCCATCCTCACGTTCAGCCATTGTTTCTAGTCAATCATCATTTCGCTTGATTCAGGCGACCTCCTTGGTTACGATCAACATTACGATCTATTTATTATTGTTACACAATGTACCCTCATGGTTACATAATCCCAACGACGGTACCTCACCAGTCATCAATCAAACATACCAAACATGTCCCACACATTAATTAGCCTATATAACTTTTACTTTTGTCATTATTCTCAAACTTTTTTTATCCTTTTGGTTCATCTAAGGCTTTTTTTATAGTTTTCGAGGCTCTTTTTTTTTTTTTTTCCCCTCCCAAAAATCGCAATGAATACGTTCTCTAAGGCGACACTTATGCTTCTATCCATATTATTTCTTTTCGCTTTCATCTCGCCCGCTTTTGCAATCTCTGATGAAGCTTTGGCACTGCTTCGCGAGGATTGTCAACAACAAGCGGTCGACCCTGCTGAATATGGCTTGGGTCTTCATATCGCCGCTCTCTTTGTCATATTGTTTACGAGTTCATTAGGGGCTTTCATACCTGTTACTGCTAAGCGTTATCCGTCATTGCGTATTCCCAAGTTGGCATTCTTTGGTACGTATTTAAAGAATTATAGAGTTTTGTTACCCAAATGGAAAGTGTACGGTCAAAAGTTTGAGTATCAAAGTAGCAATTATTTCAAAACGTACATAACTATGTAACCTTTACAGTGTAATGACCTGCCTGCCTGTCTGCCTTGACGCATCTTTTTTTAATAATGTCTTTTAAAGCGATAATATTTATTTGAAATAACCAAAAGATAACAAGTTTTTTCCTCCCTCCTCCCTTGCCTGAAAAACAGTTGCCAAGCACTTTGGTACCGGAGTCATTCTGGCAACTGCGTTTATACATGTATGTACAAAGTATTGCCCTTTATCACATTTTCTTTTTATTTACGCAACTAATGGGGGGTGGGCACGTTCGTTTTCTTAGATATTACCATCCGCATTCTCCAGACTCAACAGTTACTGTTTGGATCCAATTTGGTGGGACACTTATCCTTCATTCCCTGGTGCGTTTGCAATGATCGCGGCGTTGGGAATATTTGTTGTAGAATACGTCGCCACGACAATGGTCGGGGAAGGACATTCGCACTCTCTTCCTAAACCGGCTAGTGCTGACGCAAACGCAAACGCTAACGGTACCACCTCAAACACCGACGATGATAAATTTTTTCATTGCAGCGAGCTGGCTGTCTTGTCCTCGAATGCCCAGTCCCTGGGTATTATCATTTTAGAGGCGGGTATTTGCTTCCATTCCGTTATCATTGGCATGGATCTTAGCGTTTCCACCGGCTCCGATTTCACTAGTCTTTGGATTGCACTTGTATTCCATCAGGTAAGGCATAATTAGGACGCGTTCATTAATCCAAGTTTATACGGGTCAAACCTGTTTAAACCGGCGGACCTGGTTTAATCCGATTTGGTCAGCGCGCCGATTTAAACTGGTTTGACTCGTACATATTACGTCAAAAAGACATTGTCAAATCTGTAATCTTTCTCTCCGAATAATAGCTGTTTGAAGGTCTGGGTTTGGGTTCGCGTATTGCCGAGTTGCATGATGCCAGAACCATCAAACCGTGGATCTTGTCTTTCCTTTATGGCACAACAACGCCACTTGGCATAGCAATTGGTATTGGCGTTCGTTTCACGTACGATGCCAATTCCCCAACATCCCTGCTGATTCAGGGCATTCTCGATTCCCTGTCAGCTGGCATCCTCTTATACACCGCTTTGGTCCAGCTGATAGCATCCGATTTTATCATTGACCCCTATTTCCGCAAACAGCCCAAATCGTATCAAGTCTCGGCATTTGCGCTGTTGCTATTTGGGGCTTTGATCATGTCACTTATCGGTAGATGGGCATAGAGATGCAATATAGTTGGAAACGTCTTAGTAACTGTATTTAAAATATAATACGCGACATTAAGATTTTTTTCCCTTATGGTGTCAACCAGAAACATCTAATGCTAAGACATATTTATTTATGATATCAAAATAAATTAAGCAAAAAGGTTTATAACTTTTTGCATTATGAATCAAAATTAATGACGAACCAAGACTATCGTCTTCTATATATGATGGTTGAATAATTAGAAATCACAGTATTTTTTACGGCAGACGTAAAAGCCTTTATAATTGTTATTAACTAGTTGACACGTTATCAGCAATACTAATTATATTATGTGATTATTCCATCGCCCTTGAAATCGTCGACTACGGTTCTCAACGCTTGTCGTAGAAACGCAACTTGGTGCGGAATTTCCGTGTATGATGTGTAATAGCCCAACTTGCCGGGAGTCGGTAACGTGAGTGTCTCGTAGTTTGCTTTTATAATAACTAATGGATATAAAAGACAGTTGGTTATTTCATGTGCAATGAAAATTCAATGAGCATTCCAACGAAATTATTCCGGTAGCATACCTAACACCTGTTGCCCCATATCGATTGCATCGTCATATATGAAACAGAAACAATTAACATGATAAATCTCTACCCAAGATATGCAAAATTGTGGTATCTTGCTCATCTCACCTGTGACGGACTTATTGATTGCGCTCGACGCGATTCCTTCCATTCATCAATCTTGGATGAAAAGTGTGTGCATATACTCTTAATATTAGATATTCCAATTGACTTGGCATCCAGTGCCGATCGTTTTGGTTTAGAATCCACAGTCGATCGTTCAGAGCTTGGCTGTAAATTCACTATTTTTCCGCAGATAAAAACAAAAGTGTTATATAGTTTACAACGTAATCTACCGCGTCAATTATTAACAACTTGGCAATTTCTTACCTTTCAGAGTGACTTGCTCGAATACTTCAGCAGACCTAACTATTTCGTAAAACAAGTTGTCGTAACTAGGCGGATCTGGAAGGAATGTGTCGCCATAAGTGATACCCATATTGAGTATTCTAATAATAGCGTGCAATACGTCTTCAATGTCGTCTCTGTTTTCCATTTGATTAATGTTTGTCACGATAAATTTCGTCAACGAAATCAGGGCACGCCACAACTCTACCCAATGATATGCTGAAAAGACACAATTGGTCATTATTGACAAACCAGTCAGTGACATACAACGAAAAAAAAAAATCGCGCTTCTTACCTAGTCTGATCTGATACTTGTTTAGGAATGCAATAATACGATGGATGATAGATAATGCACAGCTGAGGATAAAAGAAATGTTAGTCGGACATGATCAGATATGACGCGAATGGTCGACGTAATGTACGGGATTGTCTTACCTGTACAGGTCACATTGGAGTTTCTTACGCATGTTGTGAGTAACGAATGAGACCATTATATCTATGATTGCTGAAGCGACAGGTCGAGGTCCATTTACATAAGGTAATTGAGGAGGTCTCTGAAGACAACGACACATGAATATATATATACGTACGAAAACCGTTTTTTCTTTCATCAAATTTTAATGATTTCCTCTCACCTGTCGACATAGTTTTATTTCAACGTTTCTACTCTCATCACAAAAGTAGCTGCACACAATAGAATTCTCGATTAATATTAAGATGATAAATAAGCATAATTTGGTGTAAATTGCAGTACGCGGAGATCTATTGTGTTGAAGCATATATGAAGTGAATGAGAGGAAGTCTCGCATGCATTGTAGATCTAATCGCAAACCAAAGACATATTATTACATGAATACAGATTGACATTGTTACAACGCAGTGAAAATGAGAGACAGCCTGTAAGCCACGACATTGCTGCCGTTTGTTACTGCTACAACCTGTTCTGATCAAATTTCTTACCTTTATTGTCTGATATCTCGGTAGACGGACTGTCGCGCGGAGTGATGGACTGAGCGATTATAGAAATAAATTGTTTGTTTGTGTTTATCAAGTCATAAAATGTCAGCAATATCGCAGCATTAGGTGACGGTCTACAGAGGTGAGATGACGTATTCTATTAGCATGTGATTCGAGCGTATTGATCTTATCGAGAATACCTACAATTTCGCAAAAAGACTCTCGACATCGGATTGAACGTCGCCGGGCTTTGACCCACTCCAATATAAAAGTCCACCAACATACGATAACACGTTAGTAACCGACATCTTCGAAGTGTCGTCATCGGCCATTATATCTGTATACTGACTATGATATCGGGTTATAAAGTAAACAAACAAAAAACAAACAAACAAACAAACAAACAAAGGAATTAAGCAAACGATATCTTTGAGACCAACCTCCTACATTTGACGCACGTCGATCCAAGGACTTGCATTATTTTCTATAAACCGGTAGAGTTTGTGAATAAAAAGAGCCAAACACGTTTTCGTTCTTGTTCTGGTACTAACCTGTAAAACGGTGTTGTCTTTTAGTGTGCTCAATTTCACCAAGTATGGATTCGCTGACTCGTGTTTTTTGAAATTGGCTAATATGCCAAGCAAGGTGATTGCATCATATGCCAAATGTATCGTTTCCGGATGAACAATAAACTATGAGGCAGAAAGAAAGAAAAGTCAGTTTACTTGCGACGCGTAATCTGCGCAAACAAACAAACAAACAAACAAACAAACAAACGTAACAACACTACTGTTAATGGCTCACACCTCAATCAAGGCGTTAAATATGTCTCGTTGAATAAAATATTCGTTTATGCTGTTCTGATTGATGTTGCTATTACCACAGATGATGACTACAGCCAGTTGAAGAGCAAGATGTCTGATCTGAACTGAAAAAAAAAAAAAAAAGTAACGCGTGCGTGGCAAATCAGTAAATTGAAAAATGGATAGGAGCATAATAAGCATTGTTTTCGACCCCCGTATATTTACCTGTTTCCCCACCTCGTATCAGCCGTTCTATCGTCTCTGTCAATCGCTAACAATCGCAAATTGTCAATACATGGCTAAAAAGTAGTAATCGTAAATAACATCAATTTAATAACCAACCGGAAATACGTCGTTCGCCTTGTCCAGTCCGGTGAGCAAGTTTATGACTTCAAAGCTAAAATTATTGAATCTCTTTGAGAATATTCCTTGCAAAAACACACAAAGCGTCTAGTCGCATAAAAAAATAGAGACGGGTGCGGATCGCAATACCTCGATTAGACGATAAATCAGAGCAAGAATCAATGCATTCTCCCTCATCACCACTCTTACCTCGATAGCATTAATTATCCTCAGACTATTGTTGTCTTGACTCATAACATCCAGCGACTTTACCAGAATCAGATTGATATTATGCTACACCAAAAGAACGAGAAAATCATAAAGTCGGTACGCAGTAGTTACGACGAATGCATTGACTGCTGTTGGGGAAAGCGATTTACAAATCAATAACCTTGATTTTTAGCAACTTTTCTTCCGACATTTTTGCCAACGTCCGACTCAGGTAAGGCGCATTCACTTTGAGAAGAAACAATTCGTTCCAGAAATAAGGATTTCCCGCGGATGGATCATTTCCCTATAGACGATACATTTAGCCAAAAAAACCCATGTGTATACATGTTTGCAGAATCAGCATTAAACTCTGATTGCGTACTTTGAAAAAAGATTCATAAATCTCGACAAATTTCTCTCGTAAAGCGGCTTTCGCTCCATGCCCTTGACGAAGCAGACCGGGATTGTTCGATGGTGTAGGAACTAGTATTCTTGTATCCTTTGACATGTCAAGAAAGGTATAAAAAATTATGTCGCACGTTGTCGGTTAGGTCATACATTTGAAAGTGATACGGAATCGGTCACCACATGAAAATTTACCAGTTTTGGACAAGTCAGAATGTCTGATATTAAAAATGCGATTATTTCTTCATAATAAGGTCTTTTCCTGGAACTCGTTTTGCGCGATCTGGTGGATATTAATGGTAGGAATGTTTATAGTTTGAAAACCGGACCAGGCGCTTACTACACGTGCCATTCCAGCAAATCAAATTTCCAATTATATTCTCAATACTGTCATCGGGGTAATTGTTTGCACATATCAATATTAATATTAATATCGACATTTAAACGTTAAATTTATAATTAGTGATTGCATACACGTGATTAGTGCAAAAGCGCACCATTAGTATTAGCGTTTGAAACAATAAAATGAGCACCACCCGAACTTTGATTGCCCGTGTTTCCCCATGACTGCTGTTTACAAACCAGTCGGAAAAGCGGGGCTCTGATACGATATTAACAGTTCATGTCCTAAAAATGGGTTAACTCGTCATGTAAAAGAATTATAGACTGTGATATCAACTCAAATTGCTACTATTTATAGTTATAATGGAGTACTTGTGTGTTTCAATTACTTGACATCCAATGCTCGTTTGAAGGAAGAGATTGTTCAAGTGGTGGTTCTTTAACCCACTTGAACTTTACTGTAACCAAACTTTAAAGACTGACGGCACTGTTCAATCAAGCAAACTGATTGACATTGATTTGTTCGTTTATTAAGATTTACAATAAATCTTATACTATAAATATCAAGTTTTCTAGAAAAGTATGCTGTCCTATAACTAGCTTATGATTAAATTAACATAATAACCAATTGCATGAAAACCGCGCTTCAGAATACAACCTTGCTGACTCATTGTAAATGTCGCAGTTTTCCCCTCCCCCCTTCCCGCTCCTTCCCTCCCCAGTCGAATCTTTCCCAAACCAATTACTGTAATTAATTAGAATTTACCCTTATCATTCTCATTGTTTCAAATTCGGAATTATCTTGGGTTCGTTTCCAAAATCGGAAACGTTTCGGCGTTACCAAGCGAATAAAAAACAAAAAACTTTTTAATCGAATTGCTGAAACGTTTTTAGTATTGAGTGCTCAGTAAAGCAACGAGTAATTTACTGACGTTACCCGAAATAGTTAAAATGGAATGTAAGGAAATTAATTAAATACTTGATTGTCGATCGGGTTGTACTAATGTTAGAAACTCACATCCTCTAACAGCAAACAAGGGCGTTCCCCATCCACAAATAGCGATAGTGAATTTTAATCAGTAAATCTTGGCTAAAAGAGTAGGATGGAACGCCTCTGTGGATACCCCCCCCCCCCCAATTTCCTCATGGAATTTTCGATAATGTTCTACACGTTTGAGATGACATTGATCCGACTCGAATAATGCGCGCAAGAGGAGGGGAAGCGGGTGTATTGGAGCACCTCTCTTTATTCCTCTATTCTGTGTTATTACTTTTGTAAATATATATATATGTATGTATACATTTTTCTTTCTTTTTTCCTTTTTCTTTTCATATAGTCCTACAACCAATGTTCATACATTAAAATACTAACTACTTTCCCCTCCCAAAGAAAAGTTGTATAAAATCACACAGTAAAAATAAATGAGTCTTGACAGTTACACGTGCAAGTAAATTAGAAAAAAAAAAAAAAAAGAAAAGACAACAAAACAAAATAAAAAGTAATCCAACGAATATTTTCTTTGCCATTCTATTTGATCGACTTTGATCTCATTCTCGTCATCGGTAACTTCTCCCCTCCACTGACCTTTCTTTCCTTTTTGTCTACATCACTCTTTGCTCGATTATATAAATGTAACCCAATAAATGTTAAAAAGATTCCAACTCCTTGAACGAACGTAGTCTTTTGTCCAAACCATATTATACTCGCAGTAATTACAAAAATTCGTTTAACCAATGAAGCGATAGAATATGTAACTGGCGAAGTAATCTCAAGAATGTTGAACGCGAGTGTGTTTTGGAAAAAGTGAGTCGTACCGTTCAAGAAAAAGTAAAAAAGTATTGTCCAGGCAGAAACGCTCGCGCTTACGCCCAGATCCCCACCCAAAACAAGAAATCCACCAAACTTAAGGCCGTCATACCAAGCCCATATCGGTATCATCAGCACAAAAGCTATGGTGCTTGAAAAGAACATCAAATTCAGCTTGTCCAATTTCTCTTCCCCAGGCATATCCGGTCTTCGCAGTAGCGTCTTGGAAAACACGTTCTGAGCAACAAAAATTATTGTCGATCCCATCGCAAAGAGAAAGCCAATGAAAGAGGACGATGTCGTTGCAGAACATGCAAGCATGACGCCGATGGTAAGAGGGATGAGAGAAAAGTACACGGCCGATGAATAGGTTACAGAAAAAATGATTCTGTAAAAAGTGACTGTAAATAGGGGCGACAGAGCCTAGAGGATAGAGTAAAAGGATATGAGTATAAAATAAATTTGGTTTCATACACATCAATTTACCACACCCTCTAATTATTCTTACCTTGATCGTATGCACAAAACTAACCGGTACTTGACTAGTTGCTACGCTCGAAAAGCCATGACCAACAATCTGAAACCCACTCAATGGCACGGTCTCTTTGAGAATGTCCACTGTCAGCCTTCGAATCCTTGTGAATCCTAGCCGACCGAGTGCATGGCAATACAACGAAACAAAGCCAAATTGTATCCATGTGAGCGTGACCGGGTAAGGGAATACGTTCAAAAGGGATTTACCAATGTTGTTTGTTACTGCCGATGAGGCATACCAGAGTACGCAGAGAAAAAGAAACTTTATGGTTTTGAGGGACTGGAAAGTTGTGATGGACGAGAAGAACATGGACAGTTGAGAAATAATGGAATTCATATCAATCGAGACCGAGAACAATTCAGTCGCTTGGGCAAGAAGAAAGACCAAAAATCTGGAAGATGACATGTTGAGCGTAGGTTTTGGTAGTGAGGTATCCGGAAATGAGTTGAAGGATCTTTCGTTTGGGTGTATATCAGGATTTGGATCGTCGTCTTTTATTGTGATTGATTCAAAATCTCTTTTTGATTCGTGTGAGTTTAATGATGCAGAATTGGAGGAGCGAAATTGTTGTGGCTGTGGCTGTTGTTGTTGTTGCAGCTGCAGCTGCTGCTGTTCTTGTTGCTGCTGTTGTTGTTGCTGTTGTATTTGTCGCTGTTGTTGCTGTTGTGCTGGTGGTGGATGTGATAGCGTGGATGACTTGTTGGTCGGTATGCTTGGTAGTATACTGCTTGCTATTCCGGATGACACTTTTGGTGCTGCTTCCGTTGCCGCAGAATTTGAATTTCCACTTCCGTGCTGTATGGTAGTTCCAAATACAGGACCACCATGTTTGTCATATTTGTTGAGGGTATTCGACCTGTGTCTAGTTGGAGTAGTAATGGGGGGATAGGTCAATGGTGTTGGAGTGATAGCTGCAGTAGCCATTGGTTGTGATGGTTGTTGGAGAATGCCGAGCTCTGCGACAGTATGGTTTGAATTCGAGCTGTCTGTGTTTGTGGTAATATCTTTATCAGCTGTATTGTCTGTACTGTTCTTTTTATTATTTGTTTCTTGGTGGTTATTATTAGAATGATTCGAGCCTTGTTTTTTATAATTATAATTTCCCCGGCGTTTTGAGGAAGGCTTCCTTTGTGGTGCGTATGAGGAATCTACTGCAGTGTAAGCCGATGTCGCTGTTGCTGTTGCGGTAGTTGTGTGGAATTCTTCTGGTAGATTTGGAGTCATTTGGATACTAGTGATGGAAAAAAAGAAAGAAAAAGAACAGTCAGACAATGAGGACAGAAATGGGAAAATTGGGAGCAAAGTGTATATATATCTACATGAATGATTGATAAAGTACAAGCTTTTAGTGAGAAGCGAGAGTTTTTTAAAAAGAGGGCTCTACGGAAGAATGCTTGAAATGCTGACTGATCGTATGGTGAGTAAAGATTGATGAGAAGAGAGACGAAAACAGTAAGTCTTAGCTTATAAATGGGGAAAGGGAATATGTCAGTTTTTTTCAAACATGACCCGGACTTGTATCCGGTCTCTTTGTCTCTCGTTCTCGTAGTTTGACTTTTTTTTTCAATGACACTTACCAAAGAAAAGGTGTTTGAAATAATAAAGTAGCTTTGTGTCTCTAAACCATTTTTCTTTTTCTTTTTGTGGAGGGGGGAAGTGGGTGTATATATATAAATATAGCAATATAAATAGCGATTGTGTGTTTAGTATAATGGCTTGGAATAAATTCAAATAAAGGCATGGATTGTAGATTGCAGTTATGTGTGACATGAACGTTGATATTAATATATATGAATAACATTAATGAATCATATATGGTAATGTATAGTATATTATATTACGAATAATGTCATAAACTGTCATATAATATAAATAGTGGTGGTGGTAGTGATGGCGTAGTAGTAGTAGTGGTGGGTGGTGGTAGTGGTGGTTGGTAGTTTGGTCGTGGTGGTGAAATGGGTGGTGATAGTTGTGATAGTAAGTAAAAATAGCAGTATCAGCATATTTGAGATAGTCTGTGTAATACATATATACAGCACATACGTAATGAGATAACTAGGATAACACATCCTACATATATGCAACACATACTAGACATACTGTATAACACATCACACATATCTATCACACATACTGTAACACACATACTACATACCACACATACTACATAACACATACTACTTATCTACTTATCTACATTTCTAACGAATACCAACTGTCAAATTCAGTCAAACGGAACACGGTCAAGAAGGGATAAAAATAGAAACATGCAGATGGAAGATGTCATTCAGATAGAGTGCAGGAACATCCAGCAATCATAGCAATTTGATTCTAACCATGTGATTTACTATCGTACACGCTATATCAGCGTTCACTGTTTGTTTCTGTATTCTCCACTCCGCCACCCCCTTTCAAACCTAATTTTTATTCGGCAATTCAACGAGTTATCTCCGATAAACAGGTATTTGGTCAGATTTGTAAACGACACTAGTAACACAAATTGTAGTTCGATAGATTAGCAGAGATCTATGATGGGCTTGTATGTAGTGTAATGTAATGTAAACGCACCCTTTTGGTATACCCGAATTTTTTTTCCACGTTGATAGCGGAACGGAAACAGACATATCAGTGTTTGAAGCAAACACACAACTTTGAAAAAAAAAACAATAGCTAACCAATTAGTAGATCTAAAACCATAATCTTGAGTTCTTCTTGTTTACTTTATTGTTTATGTTGTTTACGTTGTTTACGTTGTTGTTGTTATCGCCGTATTGTTTTGCGTTGTTATCCTCATATTGTTTTGCGTTATCATATAATCTAGTGTGAGTTTACAAGTACTGGAAGAATGTTGGAACGAAACAGAGATAGACTATAGTTGCAATATGTATTAGTATAGTAATATCAATGAGGCAGACACTGATTGAAAAAAAAAAGGAATGACAAACTATAAAAAAATCCTTTGGGTTTATAAATATTTGTTAATATAAATAGTATATACATCGTATTGTTAACTTATACTAATTTCTAAAAATAGACAACTGGCATCGAGGGAACTCCAATTTTATAGTGTTCAGTTGACAACAGCTTATCGTAGATAAATCTTCTCTTCTTCTCTCTTGGCTTCTTGTTTATTGCCCCACTTGTCCTATGCCGTAAATGACATTTTACCAAGCATCTAAGCTAATTAAAGTATTATATGATGTCATCTCACACAGGGCGTGGTTCAAAATGACATACGCTAAATGTATAATCACAGTTAGCAGACTTTGGAAATTTGACATCCCCCTGGCTGGCTTTAGGCATATGGATTCAGTTAGTCTTGTAGATAGCGTTGTTTCTTCTGTATTACTGTTTAAAAGCAAGCTTTGCCGTCGTCAAAAAAAAAAATCAAAAAATTGAATTCGTCCGAAAACAGTAATATTTATTATTATCCGTATTGGTATGCTGAATTCTTAAACGTTTCTGGCTGATAAAAGTTACAGTTTACTATATTACTAGCGGGTGCATCTAACTGCAGCGAGTCATGTAACCGCAGCATTGGAGTAATCGATCACATGACATGGCTTATGTCATTGTACTGTTTCCAAGTTATTGTTTTGTTGACGTTTAGAATAGAAAGTTATACAATGGAAATAATATAAATAAGCTGCAACTGATATAAAGATTCCAAATGCTCACTAGTCTAATTTCATTATTATAATAAATTAGAAATGCATTATACAATAGTTACTGATTACAAATTCCTAGTGGATACTTTCCCATACTAAGAAAGTTAGACTGCAAATTAATTCAGACACCCAGTTGAATTCTTGGTTCTTGTAATCAAGTTGCTCAATTATAGGCAGGAACCAGTCCAGGTTATTCACAATCCCTACGTGGCTAAGATTTAATTTCGTTACATCAATTCTACTTGCCACCACCTATTGTATATTAATATTAATATATTCAATAATACTGACTTTGCTAACATATTATTACTATTACATAATAATTGTGAATAATACGGTGCCTCCAATAGTCACGTAGCAATGCAAGAATTTACATACGATTTTAGTAACATGGTAATAACTGTATTTAACTATTAATTAAACTTGTTTGCAGTGTCGGTTTACACGTATTAATACATTTTGTAGTTTGTAGTTTGCTTGTTGTTGCTTCTTTTTTTCTTCACTTTTCCTTTACTAGAAAGAGATTATTAAGGTCAGCGAAAAAATTTGGTCGATTTTATCTTGGAACTTTAATTGACAAAAGCGTAAAATTCGTATTGTTAACGAGGAAAAGTTTATAAAAATTGCTTTCAGAATGGTTAAGTACATAATTACAAACATGTATAAATTTGCGTATAAAAATTAGTAAACGTTTAACCTACAGCTGTGCTGCTAATAACGAAACGCAAACTAAGCTCTTTTGCATTATAACTTGACGGTTTGTTTACTGAACGGGAGAATTGGTGCATTGATAAGTGAAGCAGTAATTGCGACACATCTAAATAGATTGAAAAAAATTCTACCAAGTATTAAATATGTTGTCTATATACTTTGTTATTTTTCAGTCTCTTTTTAACACCAAATTAGAAGACTTTGTAGTTATGTAGTACAAAACCTTTTCGTTGACTTTAACAATATTTTTTTTTTATAAAAAGGTATCTACAAATGTATTAAATATGTGTAAAACGACACTGTAAACAAGTTTAATTAAGATTAATACAGTGGGTGACCAAAAGTCTCCGACCACCCCTTAAAATTTTCGTTGATCATGCATAACTCCGTAACGAAACATTA